ACATCGGGCTCCCTGCTCTGCGGGAAGCCTGCTTCTCCCTCTCCCACTCCCCCTGCTTGTGTTCCCTCTCTCGTTGTGTCTCTCTCTGTCAAATAAATAAATAAAATCTTAAAAAAAAAAGAGAGAGAGAAAGGTAAACCCAGTGAATGAGAAATTCACACATAGAAAACTGTGGACTATGGACAGTACAAGTCCAGTGCGAGGGAATCCAGGGGAACCCAGGCATTTTTGAAAAGATGTCCATCCCCCATTCAAATCATCAGGACAACACAGCTTAAACAGCAGAGAGATGCTCATTTCTACCTTGCAGTCTGGTGCAAGAATTATAAAGGTTGACTGTGCTAAATGTTAGTGGTATTATAAATTGAGGTCATTTTGGCAGGATCTTTCAAAATGGAAAAAAAGCTCTGCAGATGTGGCAGTTTTACATGTGGTCATCCTACAAAGATGCTTGTATACAAGGATGTGTCCATAGCAGAATTGTTTGTAATGAGGAGCATTCAGAAACAACCCAAGTTAGATAAATGATGGTACATTTTTTTTTTTAAGATTTTATTTATTTATTTGACAGAGAGAGGGAACACAAGTAGGAGGAGTGGGAGAGGGAGAAGCAGGATTCCCATGGAGCAGGGAGCCTGATGTGGGGCTCGATCCCAGGACCCTGGGATCATGACCTGAGCCGAAGGCAGACGCTTAACGACTGAGCCACCCAGGCGCCCCAAATGATGGCACATTTATCTTGACCTATGTGACAGAATACAGAAAGCACTCTAAGACTTGGGGAAAAGGCAAGTTGCAGGACAATCTATATAGTGTGGCCCAATTTATATATATGTTTTTCAGAGTAGAACTCGTGATATGGTATGTGTGTGTGCATGTCTGTATATATGTGTGTAAATGGGCACTTAACCGTGGGCCAGCTGCTTTGTAAGCACTTTATATCCTATGAGGGCAAACATGCTAAAATACGGGATGAGATGGATACTATTATCACTATCCTCATTTTACATGATTAAAAACTCAGGCCCTGAAAGGTTGAGAAATTTGCCCAAGGTCACACAGCTAGGAAGTGATGGGGTGGGGGTTCAGAGTCAGTCTTCCTTATCCATGCTTTTGTCCACTGCCTCTAATATATGGCATATAAATGTGAGTGGGTGTGTCTAAATGGATATGCCTCTGGCTGCCTGTAGGAAGGTCCACAAGTTGCAGAGTGTTACTTCTGGGGAGTGTTAACAGTTGGATATGGGCCTTTCCGTCATTGTTTATATGTATGCATACATCTGTGATCAACAGTAGGATCACACTCTATTCAGTTTTGCATCTTTTTGCACTTGACTGTATATCTTGGAGATCTATTCATGCCAGAGCATAGATCAGCCTCTTTTTTTTTTTTTTCCCCTCACAGCTGCCTAGTATTTCTTCTTTCCTCTCTTCTGCCATACATCATTGAATGTTGACTCTGGGGTTCCTGAAACAGGGCACAGCCACACACTCTTGAATCTCTGTCCTACGTCTCCCCAGGGACAGCCCTGCAGTGAAGTGGGATTTTTCTGCCTGTTACTCCCCCCCGCCCCCAGCCCCCTATCCCCTCAGTGGCTCAGTTCATTCTGGACAGTAATTCTTGTCTTTCTGGGTCACTACTGATTCCCCCACTCCTGGAACAGTGGCAGTACTGGGCTTCCTTGTTGACCGACTGAACAGGTGGGCAAAGTGAGGAAGACAGAGTTCACCCATCTGGTTTCCCCACAGAGGAACGGGGTAACACTGGCTGTCTTTCCACAGGTGTCAGCCTGGGACGACCGGCGGGCAGAAGGCACATTTCCTGGGAAGATCTGACCTGGCTTTACCCACCTCTCCTCTGTCCTCCCTCCTTCTCCCAGGGAGGTGAAGGGGGACCTGGGTGCATGGTGATCCCTGCCCTGGGATTCTGAATCATGGCTTAACTAATAATAAATACTTGTTGGAAAAGTGTAAGACTGCGTATGTGTAAAAGAGCTAGGTGATCGGGCAAGAAGCTGTGGTGGGAATTAATACCTTGACCAGTAAGAGGGGCTTCAAGGTGACTGGTTTTTTCTCTTCTGTTTAAGTTTTGTTATTAAACTGACCACCTTCTCTATACCAGACAATAGAGTGAGTGATACAGAATAGGCTCAAGCCCTTGGATGTGCTAAAATTTATCTGTATGTTCCCCTTTATTATCTATACAATTTCAAAAAACTTTTCTTATGTAATTTTTGAACCACATGAAAATAGTATAATAAAAATTCCTATATACCCATTACCTAGCTTGAACAGTTACCAACAAATGACCAATCAGTTTCACCTCTAATTATTCCCCTCCCCCTCTAGGTGATTTTAAAGTAAATCCTGGGGATCATATGTTATCCAGAAATAAGTAAGTATATGTGTCTCTTAGAGTCACAGGTTTATTTTACACATAATTACACTACCATTATTACATCTAAGAAATTAATGATAAATTTTTAATATCTAATAAACAGGGTTTGTTTTTTTTTTAAGATTTATTAATTTGACAGCACAAGTAGGCGAGGGGCAGGCAGAGGAAGAAGGAGAAGCAGGTTCCCCACTGAGCAGAGAACCGGATGCGGGGCTCGATCCCAGGACCCTGGGATCATGACCTGAGCTGAAGGCAGATGCTTAACCGAGTGAGCCACCCGGGAGTCCCTAATAAGCAGTTTTCTGCACAATGTGTAATATTTCCCTCTGTTCTGGGCCGCCTCTTAAATGTTATGGTGATGATTGGAAAGTCATTTAAGTAGGCCAAATTTTCTTGCTGCTCCCAGAGAAATTGCCACACAATGATAGTCCAGAATATCATCCACCAGACTAGTCAGCATAACTAGCTAGAGCATCAGGTTGTGGCTGGATTGGTGTTTCCTCAAGACCACTCAAATGGTTGAGAGACAGACTTATCCAGAGCACATTCAGATGAGCAGAGAGATGATTCTTGTATTGAAGGACAGTGGCCCTGGGGAGGGATCTTCTGAAATACCTGCCTATGAGGAGGAAGGGCTCTAAGCAGAGGACCCTCATGCATGCCCAGGGACTTTGAGGAACTGTGGAAGCTTATGTCATGTGTTGGCTATAAGAAAGAACTTCAACATGGTGAAAATTTCAAATAAAACAGGAAGTCGAGTGAAAAGATGTAGGGGACTTACTCAGATCCCAGATGCCCAGTTCTGCCCAGAGGCTGCCACCATTAGCAATTTTCCGGGCATTCCCCCGCAGAGACTGCCCATATATCTACAAGTATTTACAAATATGTACATTATATGTATTCGATTTGGTAAAGATTTGATAGGGCTCTCCTGTTTCCTCTCTGATCTACCACTTCTTGTTTGCTCCCACAGTTCCTGCCATGCTGGCCTTTCAAGGTGACAGGAACTGGGTGAGCAAATGAAGCGTCGACATACATCAGGCTGTCTGCAACCTGGAGGCCTTTGCATTTGCTCTTCGCCCTGCCTGGAATGCCTTTCCACCAGAGACCCACTTGGCTCTCTCTTTAGGTCTTCCTCAAATATAACTCAGGCCTTCCCTGACCCCTCGACCTACCATCTCAGCTCCCATACACACGTTTGCCGCCCTTCACTCCTTTTGTTTCTTAAGTACTTGACCACTAATACGCCCTGTATTTTATTTAATTCGCTCTTGATCATTGCCCCGACACACACCAGAAGGTAATTTCTATGACGGCAGAGATTTTTAAAAATGCACGTTCCCTCTTACAACATTTTATTACGGAAAATCTCAAGCGTTCAGAAAAAGTGGACAATGAGTACAATTGCTGTTAGCCCACCACCTCGGTTTAACAATTGTTAATATTGTGTCATATTTACTTGGTGTGTACACGTGTTTTTTACTAAACCATTTAAAAGTACAGTTGGCCCTCGAGCAAAGTGAGAGTTAGGGGCACCAACCATCCATGAATTTAAAAAAATCCGCATATAACTTGGCTCCCCACAAACTTAACCACTAGTAGCTTCTACTGCTGAGTGGAAGCCTTACTGATAACAGTTGATTAACAGTCGGTTATTTTCTATGTTATATGTATTATATACTATTCTTATAATAAGGTAAGCTAGAGAAAAGAAAATGTTATTAAGAAAATCATAAGAGAAAATACATTTATAGCACTGCATGTGTGTGTATTGGGAAACATCTGTGGGTAAGTGGACCCATGCAATTCAAACATGTCTCGTTCAAGAGTCAACTGTAGTTTCCAAACATCTTGACACTTCACTCCTAAATACTTACGTCTGTATCTCTGAAAAATGACGTGTTCCTTCATACTATTATCACTTCTAAGAAAGACTAACATTAATTCCCTAATGTCTGATATTCAGATTTCCCAAATTGTGCCCCAAAAGTCTTCTATACTGTTGGCTGTGTTCTGTACCAAGATCCAATCAAGGTTCAAGTTCTGCGTTGGTTTTTTAGTCTCTAGTGTTTTTTAAATTCTACAGTAGCCTCCCTGCTCCACCCCACCTGCTCTTAGAAGATGGGTTTTTTTAAGAGGCCAGGCCAACTGTCCTGTAGTGTCCCGCACTCCAGATTTGCCTAATTGCTTTCTCACGGTGTCATTTAGCTGCTTCTGCCATCTTCTATAGTGTGTGTGTGTGTGTGTGTGTGTTTTAAGATTTTATTTATTTATTTACTTGAGAGAGCAAGAATGAGTGCACAGCAGGGGTAGCGGCAGGCAGAGGGAGAAGCAGGCTCCCCGCTGAGCAGGGAGCCTGATGCGGGGCTCGATCCCAGGACTCCGGGATCATGACCTGAGCAGAAGGCAGACGCTTAACCAGCCACCCAGGTGTCCCAATCTGTAGTTCTTAAAAACTGGAAGTTTGCTCTAAAGGCCTGATTAGGTACAGGTTAAGTACTTTTTACAAGAATCCTTCTTGTGTATCTTCCTTATTGCTTCCTGTCAGGAGGTACGTGATGCCAGGTTACCCCAATAGTGATGGCCAAGTCTGATCCCTGGGGACGGTGATGGCCACCAGCTATCTCCTCCAGAAAGATCTGTTTTCCTTTTTCGTCATTGGCAAGTGACCTGTCGGGGGGGGCTCTAGGATGAATGGTTCTGCCATGGCACCGTGACAGCCTTACACATCTCCCCATAAGCCACGTAGGGAAAACTTAGCTGTGGTCTGGCCTGAACTTTGGCAGAAGGCCTGGGGTATCCTCCTGCAATGAAGGGAGATGGGCGGTCTTGTAAAGAGCCGCTGTGAGGCAGTTTCTCATCCACCTCTGTCTCTTGCAGGAGACTGCTACAAGACCAGTTCTCATCTACCTCTCCTGTTTCAGTTGAGTACAGGACTTTCTTCCTCACTCCCCCTTAGGGTATAGCTGCAGGCTATAAAACTACTCTGAAGCTACCGTGCTGAGCACCTTACCTGCCTATTCTCTGGCCTTCTAACAACTCAAGCCATAGATTTTGTTATGACCCCTGTTTTATGAGTGAGGACACCGCCACTTGCAGCCATCTGCTGTTTTGTGGGGCTGTGGGTGTCCTTTTAGTGCATCTGTATCAGGGTTCAGTGCAGAAAACGGAAACCTCCCAAGGCATAGGAAGTAGAGACTTAATAGGAGGAATTTGGATCTAGTGAAGTTGGACCTAGTATCACACCTGTATTTCGTTATATTCAACGTGAGCCAACATTTTACAGGCTTCAATGTAGCTTTGCAATAGGTTTTTACATTACCTTGAAAAAAGTATCTGGGGGTGCCTGGGTGGTTCAGTTGGTTAAATGTCTGATTCTGGGCTTCGGCTCAGGTCACAGTCTC